GGACTTCGTCAACTCTTTAGCTTTAGCCTGGTTTTTGTCTATAGAGCTGACTATGTCTTTATGTATCTCTCTTTTGTACTTCTTGCATCTTTTTGATGCCTTTAATACAATTCTCTTACTTCATAAAAAAAAAAAGAATCCTCTGGCGAGCAAACAAATACCAGCCAGAATCTCCGGCAACGGACGTCACACGCGTCGTCAAAAGCTACAGTTCTCCCGGTGCGTGCGAGTCTTTCCAGCTACTTTCCCGCAAAACTTCTTGAGGACAGTTTGGTCGCGAGGTGTTTCCGAGCCTACCCATCCAGGTTACACCAAATTCCGATAACTTTTTTATTTTCCGGCAAGTAATCAGTGTTTTCCAGCGTGAACAATGTTTCTTCTGGTGTGAACAGTGTTTTCCCAAAGAATAAAAAATCTCCAACTTAACTTGTTCTGATTTGGCATTCCAAGGTTAACCAATACAACCTTTAGTCAAAAATTTGAGAGACTGGTTGTAGCAAAATGGGATCCAATACTATGAATAGTTGGATGGTTTCTATACCGGATTATATTGAGTTCCTTCAGTATAAAGCATGTAAACAGACATATTCAGAGATAACTTCCATTGTTCAAACAGGTAATATCGTGACTTGTGTCTCCCAATCTTCATCCTCCGATTCTTGGGTCACTCAATCTCTTCCAACAGTCACAACGGCCAACGGGTGTCAAACCATGGCAACTGGAATAGGTCAAGCAAGTCCACTTTCTTCCTTACTTTTAGATTCAGTTCTTTATGTTCTCGGTAATCCTTTTAATCGCTTAGCCAAATTACTTAAACGCTATGTTTTATTTCTTGATGACCTTTTTTTTTATACAGTACGGGGCGGATCATTGGTAACGAGTGTGAATCAAATGGACTTTATTATCTTATCCTTGCTAAATCACATGGACTCACATCTTGTCTTCCTTCGACAACTTGTCCTGTTACTGATTCACCATATTTATTACATAAACGGTTGGGACATCCCAATTTGTCAAAACGTCAGAAAATGGTACCTAGTTTATCTCACTTGTCCACTCTAGAGTGTGAGTCATGTCAGCTCGTTAAGCATACCCGCTCCCATTTCCCTCGGCGTCTTGATAATCGAGTAGAGTCACCTTTTACTTTAGTCCATTCAGATGTTTGAGGTCCTAGTCGGGTCAGTTCTACCATGGGATTCCGCTACTTTGTCAGTTTTATTGATGATTATTCCAGACACTTGGATATTTTTGATAAAAATTTCTAGACCTTCCACACTAAAATTCAAAATCAATTTGGGGTTTCTATCCGCACATTTCGTAGTGATAATGCCCTAGTGTATTTCTCTTACCCATTTCAACAATTTATGAACTCTCATGGGATTATTCATCAAACATCTTGTTCGTACACATTTCAACAAAATGGGGTAGCTGAAAGAAAGAATAAACATCTTATTGAAATTGCTCGTACCCTACTCATACAATCTCATGTTCCATTGCATTTTTTGGGGGATGCAGTTCTTACATTTTGTTATCTTATTAATCGTATGCTATCCTCAGCTATCCAAAATCAAGTTCCATTCTCTGCCTTGTTTCCCCACTCATCTTTGTTTTCTTTTCCACTTTTTCACCCCATGTCTTTGGGAGCACTTGTTTTGTTCATAACCTTACTCTAGGAAAAGATGAGTTAGCTCATCGTGCTCTTAAGTGCGTATTTCTGGGTTACTCGAGAATGCAAAAGGGATATCGATGTTATTCACCTGATCTCCAGTTGTACCTTATGTCTGCTTATGTTACCTTCTTTGAAACCCAATCATACTTCACAAGTCCAGGTGATCACTTAGATATTTCTGAGGTGCTACCAGTTTCATCTTTTGGAGATTCAGTCACTATTTTCCATTATGTATTTGCATCACTTTGTCCTCTGTTTCCATCCCTAAGTCTATAGGTGAAACATTGTCTCATCCAGGATGGCGACATGCTATAATTGGCGAGATGTCTGCTTTACATATAAGTGGTACTTGGGAGCTTGTTCCTCTTCCTTCGGGTAAATCTACTGTTGGTTGTCGTTGGGTTTATGCAGTCAAAGTTGATCCAGATGGCCAGGTTGATCGACTTAAGGCTCGTCTTGTTGCCAAATGATATACTCAGATATTTGGGCTTGATTGCTGTGATACTTTCTATCCCGTGGCTAAAATAGCATCAGTCCGCCTTTTTCTATCCATGGTTGTTCGCTATTGGCCTTTCTATCAGTTGGATATTAAGAATGCTTTTCTTTACGGTGACCTTGCGGATGGAGTTTATATGGAGCAACCACCTGGTTTTGTTGCTCAGGGGGAGTCTAGTGGCCTTGTATGTCGGCTGCGCTAGTCCTTCTATGGTCTAAAGCAGTCTCCTCGAGCATGGTTTGGTAAGTTCAGTTCAATTATTCAGGAGTTTAGCATGACTCGTAGTGAAACTGATCACTTTGTGATTTATCAACATTCTGCTTCAAATCTCTGTATTTATCTGGTGGTTTTGTTTATGATATTGTTATTACCGCAATAACTATGATGGTATTACTAAGTTGAACAACATCTCTTTCAGCACATTCAGACTAAGGATCTGCGCAAATTAAAGTATTTTCTGGGTATTGAGGTCGCTCAGTCTAGCTCAGATATTGTGATCTCACAACGGAAATATGCCTTAGACATTGTTGAAGAGATAAGAATGATAAGATTTAGACCTGTTGACACTTCTATGGATCGCGATCCTGCGAGATATAGGCGGTTGGTTGGTAAATTAAATTACTTCACAGTGACTAGACCTGACATTTCCTTTCCTGTGAGTGTGGTGAGTCGGTTTATGGATTCTCCATGTGATAGTCATTGGGATGCAGTTGTCTGCATTCTTCGGTAAATAAAATCGGCTCCATGCAAAGGATTACTGTTTGAAGATCGAGGCCATGAGCAAATTGTTGGATAATCAGATGCTGACCGGGCAGGATCACCTTTTAATAGACGTTCTACATCTGGATATTGTATTTTAGTAGGAGGTAATTTGATCTTGGAAGAGCAAGAAACATAATGTGGTTGCTCGGTCTAGTGTAGAAGTAGAATATCGAGCAATGGTTGTGGCAACATGTGAGCTAGTTTGGATCAAACGTTTGCTCAAGAAGTTGAAATTTGATGAGATCAGCAAGATGGAACTTGTGTGATAATCAAGCTGCCCTTCATATCGCATTAAATCCCGTGTTCCACATTGAGATTGACTGTCACTTCGTCAAAGAAAAGATACTCGTAGGAGATATTGCTACAAAGTTTGTGAATTCGAATGATCAGCTTGCAGATATTTTTACTAAGTCCCTCACTGGTCCTCGTATTAGTTACATATGTAACTAGCTCGATATATAATATTTATATGAACCGGTTTGAGGGGAGTGTTAGATAGTTATGTAAATAACCCTAGTCCCACATGGAATATGAGTAGAATATGTATTGTGTATAGTTATAAATAGGGCTATTGTAAAACACTTAATGGAAGATGTGAGAAAGCACGAGAGAAAAATCTTATTCCTTCTCTAAAGTGTTGTACAATGCCCTATTTATATACAGTGATTACATAATAATAGGTATCTACTTACCCGATGTTGGACACTATACATGACTAACTACTTAAAAGAAGATAAATAATATTTTTCCCCTGCTTTCTCACACTTCTAACACAATTCCTCTTCTCATAGGGGAATCTAACTATGTGAAAATCACCAGCTAAAACCCATGGTCCATTGAATAGTCCCCTAGCAGCTCCAATCTCCCACCACACCTCTTGCCTTTCTTTGTCACAGTTAGGGGCATAAACCCCTGTTAAGTTCCAATTAAGGTCTTGCAGTTGAGAAACAAATTTGCAGGTTAGGGTAAATTCCCCACTAGCCACAATCTCCCCCTCCCAAACTTTACTATCCCACATAATTAGGATACCCCCTCTAGTTCCACCGGCCTCCAATTGTGCAAATTTGACTCCCCTATTCCCCCATAATTGTTTGACTTTATCTGTAATATCCCCTACTAGTTTTGTTTCTTGAAAACAAAATATATCGGCCTTCAATTTAAAGATCAAGTTGTTTATCACCCTTCTCCTATCCATGTGGTTCAGCCCCCTCACATTCCATGATAGAATTTAATATTCATTAATCCACATTGATCTCCTCTCCCTCTATATCTGGTTCCATTACTTTTGAATTTCATGTCAATAATCAGCCCTTTCAATTCTTGCATGCCTTTCTTTTTAGGAGTAGCAGCAATTGGAAATTCTGCCTTGTGTCTCTTTACTTGCCTACTGTTGTCGATTTTCATGAACATGCCATTGCCTCCTTTTCGCACCCCTGGAAATCAATCCCAAATTGCTTGCTTAATTTGATCACATTCTGATAGACCCATAATGATGTGTCCAGTTCCCCTCTATCTCCTCCCCTGTTGTGTGTATTTTTAGAGTTTCAGCTTCCTCAACCTGCCAGATGTCTATTTCTGCTGTCTTCATTATTTGCATGCCCCTACTTATAAACATGTATTGTTTTGAGTCAGTGTATATATACAAATATACCATCATACTTGACATCTTGAAAGAGATTATGTAATGATAACACAAGAATTTTTCGTTAGTTATAGAAACAATTGTTTCATGTTCTTCTAACTTGTGAAAAGATGTATAGCATGGTAGAAAAGGGTCAACATTTGGGCTCTTGCTAGAATAGGAGGCATATTTTTAAATCGGATGGGAGGAGTATTGTCTTCGGAGATTGAATGAGTTGTTTCCTTCCTCTTGGACGAGAGCACAACCTAAATGTTTAGATGCTTGCTATGCATGGCTCTTCCCTCCGTCACCACCTTGCTCAATTTTTTTCTTCATCCTTCCATATTGTTCTTCTGCTTATTGATCTTGCAAATCTTCATTTTTTCCATGTAGAGCAGTTAGGCTTGCTTGATATCTGTATAACCACTGATGTATTACACTTTGAAATGCAGTATGCTCGTCAACATCTGCTTGATTTCATGTTTCGACATGGGCACTACAAGGATGCTTGCTTGTTATTTTTCCCTCCCAATTCTGTTCCTCCACCTCCACAACCATCTTCAGGCGTTGTTACTTCATCTTCTTCCCCTCAACGACAGGATCCTTTGGCAACAGATTATGGGACCCTTGATCTATTGTGTGATTTGTGCACTGCTTATGGAGCCATGCCTGTTTTGGAGGAAGTACTGTCAGGAAGAACTTCAAATATAACATCGCAGGATCCATCAGTGAACAAACATACAACTGCAGCACTTTCTCGCATCTGTAATTATTGTGAAACTCACAAGCATTTCAATTATTTATACAAGTTTCAGGTATTATTCACTATCTTTTCCTTTGAACTCTTTCATTTGGAAAAATGAAGTAAATGGTGACCCTTTTGTCGAGGCTGATGTTAAATTTCTTTACACGTGCCTCTGGAATTATAGACCTTTAATTGATGGAGATAAAATTAATTGGCTAGTGAAATACATCCATTTCATCAGATACACTTGACGAAAGATTGACTAAGAGTAGACTGCCTCTCTGATCTGACTTATTAGGCTGTAACCCAGTTTTTAAGAAATGCTTCAACTTTTAAGCAAAAACATTTGCTAATTTCTTTAGATTTCATGTATGGGTTCCGGTAGTGCTGGTTTCTTAGTTTAGGTGCTTTGGTAAACCTCAAGAAGCTCAATCTTTCTGTTTTTCCACAAGCTTCACTCCAGAATTTGATCATATTCTCTGATAGGTTGCCCTAGTCGATTTGCTTCCATTTTCTGTATATAACTATGTACTAATGCCATGTCTCCGTCCTGTGTATTTTAAAATTGCACGATGATCAGGTGACAAAGAAGGATCATGTGGCAGCTGGGCTTTGTTGCATACAATTGTTTATGAATTCTTCTTCTCAGGAAGAAGCTATAAGACACTTGGAGAATGCCAAGGTCAGTCCATTTTAAGAATTTGTTCTGCTGCACATCTGCTTTATAGATGGTGTTTATGGTCATCAATGAATTATTGGTTTTACAAACGCTAAGCTCAGGTGCTGTGCTCTCTTTTCTCTGTCCTAGTTATCAAACCAAGTTTAGATGCTTAGGGAAGCCAAAAAATACTGGCAAGGTGCAATTTTATAAGCAGCGTGCTTCTAATGCAAGGAATGCAGACCTGAATAATGGCTGGTTACTCCTTGAATTGGACCATTCTTGAAATAGAATTCCTTATTGTTTTACTATATTTGCAACTTTGAGATTAAAATTTATATGTGAAAAATGATAATTCTTAATTGATGGAATCAATTGAAGCACTTATTTATTAGTTCTAAATATAGCAGACAGTTTCATTGGTCTAATTTGGGACCTTAGAATGGATTTTGACTCTATATGACAAACATATCAAGAAAAAGAATAAGAAAGCGTCCATAGATTTATTTGTGCCCTCTGGAGAGTTGTATGAGGTGAACGTTTCACATATGGTTATATGTGATAGCGATGGATGCAGTGATGCTATCATAGACTATGATTATCTAACAGTTAAAGTGAGAGTCAGTCAAAAGATGGAACAGTGGTAAAACACTTAAGAGAGTAAGGAAACTCACCATCACCATCACCATCACCGAGGTTCTTCTCTCTTCTACTTCCTAGGACTCCATCACCCCCATCAAGAGCCAAGCTTCCCGCAACCAAACCCCAGTAAAGTTCTCCGGCAACCGAGCCTTCACGCGCCCTCACGCGCGGCCAACACGACTGTTTTTTCCGGCGAGATTTCAGCCACGCGCTGGCGCGTGTGGCTTATTCCGGCAACCTTTCAAACTTCTTTCTTCAAACACACTATTCTCGAGGCTTTTCCGAGCATGCACATTTCAGTTTCACCAAAATCAGACGACTTTTTCTATTTTCCGGCGAATATACTCCAGATTTCGGCGACTGTTTACCTTTGTTCAGCACCAGAAATCTTTCTTCCCTTCCTATATCCTGTTTTCATCTGAGATCAACATAATATGGACAATACTGTTTATTTTAATGCGGGAGTCAAATCTTTCGATATAACGGAAGACTTTTCTGGTTCTGAAATGTGGTATGATTGGGTGGAAAGGAAAGGGAGTTCAATGCACAGAATGACAGTTAGCAAGAAGGCCCTGCTGTGGATTTTCCATTTATTACATTTGGCAACAGGAACCAAGGGAAATGGGTATAACAACTGGAAACTTAAAGACCATTTACACAATTACTTTTGTTCTCAGAAGTACAACAGTTACGGCAGATTCATCAGTATTGTGGCAGTACAAGGGGAGAGGAGATCAGTTATTATTGTTCCTGAACTGGCTCCTAACAGGGGGTGGGGAGATATAGCTAAAAAAATCTCAAAGTTTACAGACAAAGGAGTTGTGAATGATGTTGAGAAGCTGCCTCCCATGATGAAAATCTCTTATGGTGATGCTCTAGCCAAAAGCAAATGGTCTTTGAAGGAAGGTGGTCACAGGATTGAGCATCACAGTGACTGTATCAGCTTCTCTGGAGTCGATGATAACACAGAAAATGATCTGTTAAGCAGGTGCTTACTAGGCAGTTTCTCAGGGAAGTCAGAAGTTCCTACTCGAGCAGATTTGCACAGATGGGTGGCTGATAAATGGAAGTCAGTATATGGAGTACTTATTTATGATCTGAATGAGCGGCAATATCTGTTCGAATTTCCCAACAGGAACATGGCTGTGCAGGTGATGCTAGGTGACTGGAAGTGGAGGCACGAACCTCTGATGAAGTATTGGGCTCATCTCTGGACAAAGGAGGCGATGGTGGAAATAGGCAATAAGTGTGGCGGGTGGATTGAAACAGAAGAGGAGACAACACTGAAAAATCACCTGAAGTGGGCAAGAATCAAAGTTAGAGGTCCACCAGAAAATATTCCTCGCTTCATTGATCTGGAGAAAAATGGTCTGATTTTTACCTTACCGATTTGGTGTGAATGGACGCCGACGGTGAGAGTTGGTAGAAAGTACGACGGGGATCCTAGAGACGTGAAATTGCAGGAGTCCAATCACTTGTCTGAGTCTAGGGGATATAGAGTGGCTGGGCAAGTGGGTAAGGAGATGACTGTGCAAATTTTCAAAAATAAGGAGTGTGTGGGGCATGTGGGTGAGACTTCCTACGTGGAGCACGCTAGGGAGGCAGAGGGCCTAGCTGTGGGTTTTATAGGGAAAAGAGTTTTGGGCCAAGTTATGGGCCTGGACCAGAGTCTGAATATAAATGAACAAAAGGAGTTTGCAGCTGTTGGGCCTGATTTTTTATTGGAATCTTTTACTGAAAATAGGCCCAATACATTTATTAAATACGACCCTTTGTTAGATGAGATCGAAGCAAACATCTATCAAACGAAATTGGCGATGGTGGAAGTAGTGGAAGACAGAGAAGAAGTGTCACAAAGAAGCTCAGGATACCTTGCCTTTTCAGATGTGAGCAACATAGATACAAATGAAGGTATAAATCAGATAATTGGGGATTTGGCAAACAGTAGCTATGGGGTGAATGAGTTACAATTGGTGACAGCAGAACAACCTCACCAATAGCCGATGGAGGACCCTCTTCCTCTGGAGATGCAGATTCAGTTAGCAGAACTTGAAGCTTCTTTGTGGGTTCACAGAAACGTGATGAAATTAAGCAAACAGTTCGGAGTGGATTTTCAGGGTTGCGAATGGGTGGCTCTCAAGCTCTTCATGAAGTTGGACAGGAAAAGACAGGTGAAACTTTGTGTTCCCAGCAGCTCTACCACACCTACACCAAAACAAAAAGGATCTAAAGAGGTCAATAATCTGACCTCCTTTGGAATCAAATTCAAAGAAGGAGGATCGAGAAACAGGGGGAGAAACACATGTAATAGTGATCAATGAAGGTACACATTATCTCTTCTTGGAATGTGAGGGGGGTAAATGGGGTTGGAAAAAAAAGGGTTATCAAATCTTTGATTCAAGAATGGAGAGCAGACATATACTGCTTTCAGGAAACAAAGTTGGAAGGGGAATGTGGTACAATAGTCAAACATTTGTGTAGTAATAGATGGGCAGATTATGTGGGATTAGAGGCTAATGGGAGGAGTGGTGGTATCTTAATTATGTGGGATAAAAGAGGATGGAGGGGGGAGTTAGTTAATTCTGGTTTGTACAGCATCACTTGCAAAATTAAATCGCTGCATAATAATTTTGATTGGTATCTAACTGGGGTGTATGGTCCACAAACTAGAAGGGAAAGAGAGGAATTATGGTGGGAAATGGCGGCTTCTAGAGGGGTATGTGAGGGGGCTTGGGTGGTTTGTGGGGATTTCAATACAACTAGATTTGCAAATGAGGGAAGACATAATGGTGGGCTTACCAGGGCAATGAGGGATTTTTCAAAGATCATTGGAGAGCTGGAACTTGTAGATCCTCCACTGTTAGGGGGAATGTTTACCTGGGCGAAAAAGGAAAATCAAGAATGCTCTTCTAGAATAGATAGATTTCTATTCTCTGTTGAGTGGGATGAGGTGTTTAGTAACATTAAGCAGTCCTTACTTCCTAGGATTAGCTCCGATCACTGCTCAATTTCTCTGAAATGTGGGGATTGGGAATTCTCAAAGTCTTATTTCAAGTTTGAGAACTGGTGGCTGGAGGTTGAAGGCTTTACGGAGAGGGTGGAAGGCTGGTGGAACTCTTTTCAGATAGAAGGAAGACCAGATTATGTTCTGGCCTACAAACTTAAAGGTTTGAAAACAAAGCTGAAGCAATGGAATGCCAACAATTATGGGAGTTTGAAGGTAAAGAAGAGTGCTATTCTGGAGCAGATCTCAGCTCTAGATAACTTACAGGAACAAAGACCTATTAATGAGAATGAATTGTTACAAAAGGCAAGTCTTTACATGGAGTTCGAGGAGGTAGCAAAACATGCAGAGATATCATGGAGGCAGAAGTCCAGAACATTGTGGCTTAAGGAAGGAGATAAAAACTCCAAGTTTTTTCAAAAAATGGCAAACTCTCGCAGAAGATTCAACTACATAAATAAATTGGAAGTTCGAGGGGAAGTCATTACTAATCCAGATGATATTAAAAGGGAGATTGCAGCCTACTATCAGAAACTGTATGCCGAAACAGAACCATGGAGGCCTGATTTCAACATAATGGGTGGGACAAGCATTACAGAGGAAGAAAGGGTGTGGATGCAAAGGGACTTTGAAGAACAAGAAGTATTGGAAAGCTTAAAACTGTGTGCATCAGATAAAGCACCTGGGCTAGATGGATTCACTATGGGATTTTTTCACAAGTGTTGGGAGGTAGTCAAAGAGGATCTTATGAAGACCATTAAGAATTTCCATTGCAATGAATACTTTGAGAAGAGTTTCAATGCCTCTTATATAGCACTAATCCCTAAAAAGAATGGTGCAAAGGATCTGAGAGATTTTAGACCTATTAGCCTAATTGGAAGTGTGTATAAGATCATCTCTAAAACATTGACAGAGAGGCTGAAAAGAGTGGTGGATAAGTTGGTTAATACTCACCAAATGGCATTCATCAAAGGCAGACAAATTATGGATGCTGCATTGATAGCAAATGAATGTGTGGACTCTAGAATTAGAAGGCAAACTCCAGGGATCCTATGCAAGCTAGATATTGAGAAAGCATATGATAATGTAAACTGGAGTTTTCTTCTGAAAGTTCTAAAGGATATGGGCTTTGGTGCAAAGTGGATTAATTGGATCTCTTTCTGTATAAGAACTATTAGGTTCTCTATTCTTGTTAATGCTTCTCTAGAAGGATTTTTCCCGTGAGAAAGAGGTCTCAGACAAGGTGACCCTTTGTCCCCGTTTCTGTTTCTAATTGCTATGGAGGGTTTGGGTCAGATGATACAGATTGCCCAGGGGAATCCTTGGCTAAGAGGCTTCTCAGTCTCAAGTAGGGAAGACAACAGTTTGAGGATCACACATTTATTGTATGCTGATGACTCTTTAGTTTTCTGTGATGCTGATGCTGAGCAACTAAAACATCTAAGATTAATCCTTGTAATATTCGAAGCTGTTTCTTTGTTTCCGGTTGATAATACACAGGTATTAGCTGCAATTTTGGGCTGCCAGGTGGGATCTTTGCTAACTACTTATCTGGGGTTATCACTAGGCTCCAAGAATAAAGCTCAAGAAATATGGAGTGGAGTGCTGGAAAGATGTGAAAAAAGACTAGCAACTTGGAAGAGTCAGTATCTTTCTTTGGGAGGCAGAGTGGTCTTGGCTAACACAGTATTGGATGCACTCCCGACCTATGTCATGTCATTGTTTCCTATACCATCCAAGGTGAGGAAAAGAATTGATGCACTTAGGAGTAATTTTATCTGGCAGGGTAACAAAGATAAGAGAGCCATACATTTGGTAAATTGGAGCTCACTTATCACCAGCAAAAGGCAGGGGGGTCTGGGACTCAGGAACCTCAAGGCACACAACCAAAGTTTACTTATGAAGTGGATGTGGAGATACAACTCAGACGCTAATGCTTTGTGGAGAAAGGTTATAAGGGAGAAATATGGTCAAACTGAGCAGTGGTGCACTAGTCCTGTCAACAGTTCCTATGGGCTAGGTGTTTGGAAATCTATCAGACAACTATGGAGCTCTGTGTTGGTTAACACTAGCACAAGGGTGGGTAATGGTAGGAAGACACTATTTTGGAATGATAATTGGCTTGGGCATGGTCCACTTAAAGAGATGTTTCCAGAATTTTTCAGTATTGCAAACATGCCTGATATTAAAATGGAAGTAGCTTGCGGTCAGCATGGTTGGAATATCACTTTCAGAAGAGGTCTGAATGACTTGGAAATGGGGAGAATTGCTGATTTTTTTAAGGTTTTGGAAGGGTTCAAAGGACTCGATGAAAATGAAGACACCTTATTCTGGCACTGTGGCAAGAACGGGGTATACACTGTCAAATCTACCTATTTCATGCTTACAAATGCAGATCAACATACAGTGGGATGGCCATGGAAGAACATATGGAAAGCAAAAGCTCCCTTTAAGGTGGTTTGTTTCACATGGCTGGTAGCAAGAGAAGCCTGTTTAACCCAAGACAACCTACAAAGAAGGGGATTTCTGTTATGCTCGAGATGTTTGTTATGTGGCAGAGATCTGGAGACCAACAGTCATCATCTGTTTCTGCATTGTCCTATCACTAGTCAATTGTGGCAATTGTTCCTTAACATTGTGGGTCTCAGATGGGCAATGCCTGCAACTACCCTGGAGCTTCTAAAATCCTGGAATAACATGGGAGGTGTAGTCAGTCAGAAGACATGGTGGAGAGTGATACCTGCTTGTGTATGGTGGACAGTGTGGATAGAGAGGAACTCAAGAGTTTTTGAAGACAGATACAATACTCTTCAGAATGTTAAGATGAATTGTATTCTTCTGTTTTATTTTTGGTGTAAAGAAAGGCATGTGGAGAATACAGAGTCCCTGGTTGACATGTTAGGTTTTTTGTAAGTCTGGTGGATCAGATTTGATCTTCCCCCTTGTACATATGGCTTTGCACTGCCTTAGTGCTTTTCTTTTCTTAATATATTGGTACCAGTATCAAAAAAAAATTATCTAACAGTTAAAGTATAGTTGATATAGCGGAATGTCAAAATATGATTTGGTGGTGAAATTTGTCTGAAATTCTAGGATAGTCGCGAGAAATCTGGCTTAGTTTATTTCCTTATGTTTTGACACTTATATTTCCACAGAAAGACCTTATCAGGATCCTAATAATATCTAATTGTGTATATAAAAAATTGGTTAATAATGAATTCTTATTAGGAATGAATTTATGAAAATTCTTTTAGCAAAAAGTTGATTGCTTGGTCAAATAAAATATATATGTGTCTGTTGTATGTGTGTATATATAGTTATTTATTATGTATATTACATTAATTAGAATGTGTTAGTTTTTATGTCAGATAAGTTAGTATCAGCAATATGGTCTTACTAAGACTTCTTTAGAAAAATCTTATCCGCCTATATCTTGTATCTTTAGTATATCTGTATCTATAGTATATAAAAGCAGAAATTACATGGATATAAATAAAGTATAGATTATGGTATTTATACATCAGCCGAACAAAAAATTGTATATATGCATGGGTAGGTAGTTTGAGATGATTGATGCTCGACATAAATGACACGGGATATATATAACCTGACAGTTCACTGGCACCTCAATTGCTTTGTATACATATTTCTTCTTCTTGTGAATTATCACAAATTGTTTTCTCTTTTGCTATTTCTTTATTGCATTGCCAGCAGATATGCTGTTTCCATATTCTTTATCTGCATCTTTTGATCATCCCCTCTTTCCCTATGCAAGGATTGCTTTCACCTTCTGTGGGGTTTTAATTGCTAACTTGTGCTCTAACTCCTGTGTGGTCTGCGTATTCTTCATTTGTGATATAGATGCATTTTGAGGAAGGCTTGTCAGCGCGACATAAAGCAGGAGAGTCTACTAAGCTTATTACCAAGGGCATCCGAGGAAAAAGTGCTTCTGAGAAACTAACCGAAGAAGGACTTGTCAAATTTTCTGCTAGAGTTGCTATTCAGGTAAGCATGGGATGCTAATAAACTGAGATTGGAAATATCTTCACCTGTCAGCCAAATGCAGTTAGGTGCATACCATTGTTGCTTCTTTCATTTTTGATGTTCTGTTTTCAGAACCTTATTCTCTGTTATCCGAGAGTTGATGCTCTGAAAGATAGCCTTTTTAATTTCGCACATAACTTCTGTAAGAATCCAGAATAACGGGAGGTTCTTCTCATAAAAGCAAGATGTTTGAATCCTGCATTTCATTTCTTACCTCTATCAACAGCATATAACTCTCGTTCATTACTAGGAGAATTCCTTCTGTCAAAATGAGCCATTTACTGATTAGAGAGGATGGAGGAAACAGGATTTGTAAATGACTTCTGACATCAGATCTAATGATAATGCTTCTAACGTCATTCAGTGTGTGGATTGGACATGATCATTAGCACTCATAAGGGTTTGATGCTTAAGTTGTTTCACGTCTATCTTGAGTTCATGATTGTTTATGCTTCCTGATTTGCAGATAGATGTTGTCAAATGCTTTAATGATGCAGAAGGACCACAGTGGAAACATTCACTTTTTGGGAATCCAAATGATCCTGAAACTTTCAGGTGTGTTAGTCTTGGGTTTTTGTGCGTTTGTTTTTAATGAAATGTTACCAAGCTCAAAAACAATGAGGAAAAGGAAGAGAAGTTTTTCTGGGACATTAACCAAAATTTCAATGTTCAGCGTAGGGGTTCAATACTCGGACTCTGGTAGAAGAGAAAAAGAAATGTTAGAAAATATTTTGCAATAGCTGGAATAAGCGGTGCCACAGGAACGGTTACACTAAATTATGACAAGGGAAAAACTTTAACCGCGCAGGACTATTTAGGTTTCCTATAAAGATGGTTGAGGCTCTAATTCCATTTAAAATGAGAATTCTTTTTTGTATGGTTGTCGAAAATGTATGACAGGGCTCTTATATAGGAGTTTAGTCTACATGAGATTTATAGAGGAGTTTAGACTACATGAGGTGATGAAACTTTAGACTGCATGAAATAAAGGAAGTTATTACTTTAGAAAAATTACATAAATACCAAATTTTAAATAATAACAGAATTGGGAAGAATTTTTATATTATTGACTTAGATATATACTAACGTATATATTTAACATTGCCAACATTATGCAGGAGGAGGTGTGAAATTGCAGAGACTCTTGCTGAGAGGAATTTCGACTTGGCTTTCCAGGTGATCCATGGGTTCAACCTTCCAGGTAGTTCATGTACTTTCAACTTTCTTCAAAACTTTTCCAGGGTATGCTCCCGTAGTAGAACTTACTATTGGTTTATGCTCAACTGTTTCAGCTGTTGACATATATGCTGGTGTTGCTGCATCACTTGCTGAGAGAAAGAGGGGAAGCCAACTCACGGAGTTCTTTAGGAACATTAAAGGAACCATTGATGATGATGATTGGGATCAGGTATTTTTATGAATGCAGTTGTCTTCAATGTGTGTTGCTTTGTCTATTCCGCAACAGATGATTGGCCTGTCTTTCCCTTTTCTTTTTTATAACTCATATCTTAAGGAATGCTCGTATTTGGGAGGGTCAAGTATAATAAAGTGTGTGTGGGGTCGGGGGCATAGATTCTACACTAGTGTAGTATTTATTTTGTTGTTAAGGTGACATGTATCAAGTCTACTCACACTTCTCCCGGTTCAACTGTTATATTTTAAAACAGCTTTAACTAGCACCCACAATGGTAACCTATTTCAATGATCTTATGCTTCATGATTGTTTAACGGCCACTAAGCCAAGTACTAAAGCTCGGAATTGATAACCTCCTCTGATCGTTTTGTCATTCATTCAGGTATTGATAACTAATCTTTTGTTAGTGCAGACCATCTTGGTAGAAGAGCTCTGAAGTCATTATTCTAAATTTCATCTTGTCAACAGTAGAATTGCATAAGAACATCCCAAGAAGCCAAACGTTAATGGATTCTATTATTTTTCCAACAATAGAATCTGATTTATAAGGATAGTAGTATTTCTATCTAAACTTAGTTTTGTACTGCTTGGTTTCTATTTACACTAGTTTCTAATGATCTGACGGCATATTTAACGAATTCTATTATGTTTTAGGTTTTGGGAGCAGCCATCAATGTGTATGCAAATAAACACAAAGAGCGACCTGACCGCCTGATTGACATGTTGACTAGTAGCCACAGGTCAGTTTATTTAAGAAAGTTGTACTTCCATCAGGATGCATGTTAGAATCTTTTAAAAACAGGGCAGTATATTTTCTACTGTTGCATCTACTCTAAATCTTAAGGAATTAAAGTCTGGAGATTATCCAGACCATTGAGGATGAGATCACGGGTGATGTAAAGTTGCATCTTGTATGCTGCAAAAGTTCGGAAAAATTTACTTAGCATTGCTCATGATGATCTTCAATATGCAGATGAATAATATCAGGTCAACAACAAAATATTTTCATGTGCATACGTAAAATAAATAAAGTGAAGTGTATGTTCTCTAACAGATCAAGCAACTAATAGGTTAAGCTTTTTAGATGAGACGGTCTGCACAATTCAATAATATACTTTAAATTTCTATGCTCTTAATTTAAAAACTAGCTGGTAAACTTTGAGTGCCGCCTCATTTTTTAGCTTGGCTTTCCCAGGAAAGTACTTGCTTGTGTTGTCTGCGGGCGTCTCAAAAGTGCATTCCAAATTGCATCCAGAAGTGGAAGTGTGGCTGATGTTCAGTATGTTGCACATCAGGTTCGTTACGATCATGAACTTCAGAGGTTAAATATCTATTTTTTTTTTGAGATGGTAACATATTGTATATTATAATAAAATCAGTACACAGGTTGTACTGAAATCATATTTACAAGTGAGTAGCCAAAAGAAAAAAACTTTGTCCCTCAGGCCTAACAAGATTCTAGGACATCTAGGATTGAAACAGTATCTTCTGCGTAGATCTGTATACACCAAAAGCAAACAAGTAAAACACAATTAAGCTTGATCTTCTGCACAGAGTTTCTTCTATCCTCAAAACATCTGGAATTCCTTTCTTTCCAGATTGTCCACCAAATACATGCTGGGATAGTTCTCCATCTATCTATGTCTCTTGTTCCAGTTCTAACTTTATCCCAACTTAAAAGAATTTCAGTAATCTTACTAGGCATTGTCCAAGCTATGCCCCTGAGATTAATAAAGATCTTGCATAACTGGTCAGTTATCTTGCAATGTAAAAATAGATGGCTAACTGTCTCAACATCTTCTCCACATAAGTGACATCTTGAGCACAATTGAATCCCTCTCTTTATAAGATTGTCTTGTGTCAGAACATCCTCCTTTGCTAGTAACCAAGAAAAACATGTTACGTTATAGGGAATCTTGATTTTCCATATATGCTTCCAAGGCCAGTTGTTAATCTGCTGGTTAGCTTGATTCAGGATCTTGTATGCTGCATTCACCTTATAGATGCTATTGTTATGTCCCTGCCACCTTTTTGTGTCCACCCCACTCTGTAAACCTATGAATCTTTCCAGATGTTTGATGAAGTCGGTCATTCTGGCCACCTCCCAATCATTCAAACTTCTCCTAAAAATAAGTGTCCATGCTTGGGGGAGGGCACATTTCAGCTACTGTGTTGTGTTGGTGTTGTGCCAGAACATACATATCAGGGTAGAGGTCCTTTAAGCATCAATCTCCCAACCAGTTATCTTTCCAGAAGGAGGTTTTATTGCCATCTTGCACTTTGATGGATGAGTTGTTCTTTAGAATAGGCCAGAGTGACCTGATGGATCTCCATAAGCTAACTCCATATGTTGTATTTACTTCCTTTGTTATCCACTTGTCTTCCTCACCATATTTGGCTTTGATCACATTACCCCATAAGGTTTGGGGTTCTTGAGAATACCTCCATAGCCATTTCATCTTAAGAGCCTTGCTATGGTCCTTCAAATTCCTGATGCCTAGTCCACCATGAGCTCTGCCAACTATAAGAGATTTCCACTTGACTAAGTGAAAAACCCTTTTTTCTCTGTTCCCTTGCCACAAAAAGGTTCTTAGTTTGTCCAATCTCTGTATGACTCCTGCAGGAATAAGGAAGAGTGACATCATATATGTTGGGAGTGCATCTAAAACTGAGTTGACGAGGATGAGTCTTCCTCCCATTGATAGGTACTGGGATTTCCATCTGGACAGCTTCTTCTCACACTTTTCAATAATATTGTTCCATATCTCTTTGGATTTAGATTTGGCACCCAAAGGCATGCCAAGATAGACAGTAGGTAGAGTTTCTACTTCACCTCCCAAGATTAGTGCCAATTGTTCCATATCAGGTACTTCAATTATTGGGTAAAGATGGCTCTTTTTCCAATTAACATGAAGTCCTGAAATTCCTTCAAACATTATTAGAATAACTCTTAGAAACCTCAGTTGCTCCTTTTCTGCGCCACAGAAGATTAATGTGACATCAACATATTGAAGGTGTGTGATCTCCACACTATTGTTTCCACTTCTAGCTACCTCAAACCCTTTGATCCACCCATTGCTTATTTGCTGTTTTAATCATGTTATTCAGACCTTCCATGACTAATATGAAGAGAAAGGGAGATAAAGGATCACCTTGCCTTAAACCTCTATGGGCAGGGAAAAAACTCTCAGGAGATCCATTTATGATGATTGAAAATCTGACAGTGGAGATACAATATTTAACCCAGTTGATCCATTTTACCCCAAAACCCATTTGGCATAGCATATTTAACAAGAAGTTCCAGTTTACATGATCATATGCTTTTTCGATGTCTAGTTTACAAAGAATTCCCGGCTTCTTCTGTTTAGTTCTTGAATCCACAGCTTCATTGGCAATCAGAACAACATCCATTATTTGCCTTCCTTTGATGAAAGCCATCTGTTGTGAATCCACCAATTTCTCCATCACTCCTTTAAGCCTCTCTGTCAAAACTTTTGAAATTAGCTTATACACACTTCCTATCAAGCTTATAGGCCAAAGATTTCGTGGGAGTGAAAATTGTGGAAAACCTCCATATTGTCCCGCTTCATTACATCCCAGCACTTGATTAAAAAACCCATTGTGTAACCATCAGGTCCAGGAGCCTTGTCCACTGCACACATCTTCAAACACCCCAACACCTCTTGTTCGTCAAAGCTTCTTTGCAAAAACTCCTTTTCTTCTTCAGATATTTTAGGACATATATCATAATTGCACACATGTCTCCACTCTTCATTCTCTGTATATAACTCTTTGTAAAAGTCAATATCTCAGCCTTGATTCTTTGTGGCTCTACAATTGTTTCTTCCTGGATAACTAACTGATCAATGTTATTGCTTCTCTTATGTGCATTAGCAGTTTTATGAAAGAAACTTGTATTCTTGTCCCCTTCCTTAAGCCAAAGAGTTCTGGATCTCTGCCTCCATGCAATTTCTTCATTTTTCAGGTGTTCCTCATATTCCATGAGAAGAGTGGCCTTCTTCACTGATTCCTCTCTGTTAGGGCTCTATATTCCAGAGTAGAGTCCAACATTGCTAACTGATTTAGCATGTTGGTCTTTTGCAATTCCAGAGGTTAAATATCTATTCCAATCGACGTATTTATATTTCAAGGAATGCACATGCATGATAATGTTTTAACTGCTTTCCGTTCATATACTGAGGGCCCATTTGCTGGAACACTCGACATATTGGTTTAAGGTATTCCAAATCCAAACTAATGCAATGACTACTTAACCGATGCCAAAGATAAATTTGTAAATGTTTTAGGTGATTAATATTTAGAACCTTAATAACCAAATTAGGAATGTCAACTTGAGAGCTGAAAACAATCATGTACCTCAGCCGGTTATTTTGGCTCTTTGATATCCTCAGCGTGTTTATACCTTCAGCTATGGTGAATAATTTGAAGGTGGTTAATCTTTAATGGAAAAATTTGTTCTGTAAACACTCCGGTCCTACAAGTTTTTTCCGACATACTTATCAAGTTAGTCTCTACCTCTACAAGATGTTTCTGCAGCCAGTATCCAGCATGTGGAGTTCCATGGAATAGCAGATTTCTGAACTTTTGAATCAGTTTTTTCATAGGTATAGATCAGGAAATATATGGTTTTGGTGTGTTTGACGTTTGTCTCCTTAGTTATGCCTTTGAGAAACTGGAAGAATAGAGTAGATACCAGTTGATTCTACCTTTATGAAATGCGTACCTATATTTTTTACGAGGTTTACTGGAATTTGAATATGGTACTTTTAGGTGTTTTTTAGGCGTGAAGATGTTTCTTTTCTTTCTTTTTTACTATTATATTTTGTAGGATAGGGGTCCTGACTAAGTTTACCACTTCTTTGCTGATTTCTCTTTCTGTCTTTGACTCTCAACGCAGGCATTACATGCTAATGCACTTCCAGTTCTTGATATGTGCAAACAATGGCTCGCTCAGTACATGTAGTCTGGGTTCTAGGATGTGAAGTTGGTTTGAAGTGGTTGCGGCTTACTATGCAGAAATTTTGTTTTCTGCAGCATAATATAAGGTCATTGTCAAAGATTTGCTGGTTGCTTTGTTTTAGATTGGCAACGTAGCTTGCTCCATGGCACAATCACTTTAGAAGTGTGTGCCTGGTTTCACATTTGGGATGTAGTTTTGCTCATCGTTGTGGTTTCAGATTTCTCATCCATGTTACCCAGTGTGCATGCAGTCAGTTAACGTTATCACCATTTTAACGAGTACGGCGAGGTGTAATCCGTCCTTTGGCAGCATGGCGCTGCCGCACGAGCATCTCAAGTCCCTTTGATCAAAGCATGAAGCGAAATTCGTATATATATTCTGATGTCAAGGATTGAACTACATATTTGAAGTTGCTCAAAGCTGGGAAGTTGCAGAAGTCTGGATTTGTGGTTGATTTTTCTTATGTTCGATTTTTTCATCTGTATATAAAGAAACACATAAAGAGTGGGCATCCATTTTTATTAGGTTGGGGTCCAACTCCCTCAAACTCCTTATTTTTTTATTTGTTTGAGGAGGGGCCAATGCCATTGTGCTTTTTCAATTAACTTTTTGGAACCATAATATGTATATCCTTTAGATTTGAAGAGAGCTTTGAAAAGGGGTTTCTTTTTTGGGATGGTTCTGCAAATCAGTGTACCAAATATTCTGGACATATATATATATATATATTCTCTTTCGTTAATTTATATTCGCGGTTAGGAAAGTTTCGTTCTTTCTTACCCTTGATCCTAGCTTCAGCTTTCATGTAAGTTTAAATTATGGAGTAGTCAAAAGTAGAGGTGCGAATTTAAACCTCTTTTCTTGAAGTATCATAACATGTAGAGTTTACTCATTTACCCTTGTTCAGTTAATAACTAGGGTAAATGCGAAACGATGTGCAAATGGCAGTGGATACAAACTATAATAAAGGGTGAACTTGAGCAACTTCCAACAGTACCACAAAAAAATTGGATTTTTTACATAGTTTTCTGCTGAATATAATGAGTTATAGTGCATTAAATAGTGAAAAATTGGCTTGATATGTGTAAGTTTTGTATCATAGATTTTTTAGAGATAGTACTACTAAATGGCTTGCGGTATGATATTGTTAAATTTCAAATCAAATTCATCCACCACTAATTGATTTCATCCAGACCAATTGGCATCTTTATCGTATGACACGTACCGATCTGTGGAAACACAAATGGAAATTAGATATTCTCATAGTCAATACGTTTGAATTAAGATTAGAGTTGCAGTTTCACTTTGCATCATTTAAGTGTATATTTCCAATCTCATAACAAGTATTTTTCATCTTCTCCTTTGTTATTGATGGACTAATCTTAACCTAAATTTCTCTTTTAAAAGAAGATACATCGAACTCATTATCTTGAGTTTTTTCTTCCTATGTGTGTATGTAAAAAGTGTCGACCCATATATATTATATAATAAATAAGCAAAATCGATACTATATAGAATTATATGTAAAGGATAAAAGGTTGCATCATTAATTACCTTGATTTATTAAAATGCTAGAGTTATCCTAGCTAGTGAGATTTCCAATCTTTATTTGTATTTTGTTAGAATTATTCAACTCTTCCAAGAACAAGTTAACAAATAAATAATTCATCAGAGTAGGACGTATAATATCCCTTATAATCTTGTGTATCATAATATACCCTAAACAACAAACTACGTAATTACCAAGAAAACTCCACCAACTATATCATTGACGGAAACGACGAGATCGCCGGCGACACTTCCGATGAGAAGGTCCCCGGCGCCGTCAGTTTCAAGTAGCCTCTTGCCAGCTTTTGGCACAGTACGTACAGTCATGGGTGAAGGCTCTGTAAAGCTGAAAAGATTTGTTATTGCTCCTTATGATCGTAGATATAGGTCAATTATTCTCTCTGCGACGTATTTATAATTAACTCAGTTTTCTATTTTTCCCATAAAGTTTGTGTATGCATATGTGTGCTCATGTTAATTTGTTAAATCCCTTTTTTCTTTTTGTCTTAATGCTACTTGCATGTAGATATTCATATATAGGTTTAGCAAATTTTATTCATAACTAATAGATCCTCAGGAAGAAACAAATTAAGAGAGAGTGACGAATATTATATATTTATGGGGCTTAGCTCTTAGAGTTCGTGTTAGCTCCAAATGTACTTTGTAAAATCTCAAGAGGACGATGAAGTCTTGGTTTAGTCATCAAAAAGAGGTACCAGAACTAACTGCTCTTGGGTTCAAATTCTACCCCTTATTCACAAGTTTGTGTCCTACGTTGGTGTTCTCCCTACTAGCTAGTATGTGTATGTTAGGGGCGGATCCAACCCTTTGGTACCGAGTTCATCTGAACCCTAGTACTTTCGGTGCGGAGCATAAATTTATGTTAAACTGCAATATGCAGTAGATTTAAACTCGTAACCTTAAAAATAGAATAATGCGTTTAAATCTTGTATCTGCCTCTAGACTCACAGTTTCCAGTAGTCTTTAGGGTACAAATATTGCAAATATAGTCCAGTCTCACGATTAAGAAAAAAAAAAGGTTGAAAGAGCAAGATCATTTCCTTGTTTTGCTTAATTTTAACATATGGTGAATATTACAGAAAATGGCAAACATTTTTGGTGGTATTGGTGGCATACTCAGGATGGTCATCCCCTTTCGAGTTGGCATTCAAGAAGGTAGCAAGTGAAGGCCTTTTGCCTCTTGATTTAGTGGTCGATGCCTTCTTCGCCATTGACATTCTTCTCACTTTCTTTGTCTCTTACTTGGACAAATACACTTGTTTACTCGTTGATGATCACAAGAAAATTGCTTTCAGGTACTTTATATTTAGTAATGCTTTGAATTTCCGATTAAAGATCGTTTGCACATGAAAAAAAATGTTTAATTTCTATACGCTAATATTATAAAGGAATATTTCACACTATCGGGTCAACTATATATAAGATAATTTGAGACAACATTTTAGTTATTTTTATTTTGAAAGGTATGTCACTCATCTAGGGTTCCCAATGGATGTTGCATCAACCATACCATTTCAAACCATATACCGAATTTTTAATGGGAAGAAGCAAGGAGATGATGTTTTTGGCTTCCTCAACTTGCTAAGACTTTGGCGACTACGGCGTGTTAGTAAATTCTTCTCAAGGTATTGCGTTGACATTAATACTCAAACACGATCATTTCCAAAAATCGTGTAATTTAATTCTAATCTTAAGTTCCAATAAAAATCCCATCAAATTCAATCTCATTGTTAATCTCTTCCTTTCTTACAGGCTAGAGAAGGACATTCGGTTCAGCTACTTCTGGACAAGATTCTGTAAACTAATCTGTGTAAGCACTTTCGTTTTCCAACTTTACCTGATCCTGCAGATATACAGGTTCTTTTCTTCAAGTAACCGTCCATCTTATGGCTATAATTCTGTCATAGGTGACCTTATTCGCAGTGCATTCTGTTGGATGTTTATATTACTGGCTAGCAACTCATTATCATACTGCAGAGAATACCTGGATTGGGTCAAATGTTACTAATTTCCAAGAAAGAAGTATCTCTCTAGGATACACATATTCCATGTATTGGTCTGTTGCTACTCTCACCACAGTCGGCTATGGCGATCTCCGTGCACATAATACAGGAGAGAAGGTTTTCTCCATCTTCTACATGCTTTTCAACATTGGTCTCACTGCCTACTTAATTGGCAACATGACCAATCTTATTGTTCATGGCATTGCTCGGACCTTCGCTGTGGTAGTGACACCTTAAAAGAAAAATGAGAGTACAGTTTAAGCAATCTACATTTCAAGTCTCAGTTCTAAAAACAATATGATAATCAGTTTTTAATTGCAGCGGGATGCCATCAATAAGACACTGAGATATGCAAGCAAGAATAGACTTCCAGAAGGTATAAAAGAGCAAATGTCAGCACATTTGACTCTCAAATTCAAGACTGCAGAACTACAGCAAGAGGAAGTAATAAGAGACTTACCCAAGGCAATAAGATGTAGCATTGCACAATATCTCTTCCATACAACACTTGAAAATACCTACCTTTTCAAAGGGGTTTCTGAAGACTTCATAGTCCAGTTGGTGATGCATTCTCTTACCTGCCTACTAAAAGCAGAATATTTAACCTAAACAGCTCCACATAACTAAGCTATGCCCTTCGATTTTTGATCTTACAGGTTTCCGAGATAAAAGCAGAATACTTTCCACCAAAAGTTGACATTGTTATTCAAAATGAGATACCAACAGATTTCTACATTATTGTCTCTGGAGCTGTGGTACGTGCCATTCCCGTCAACTTTTGCTCTTACTACTCCTACACAGTTAACTGGTCACTGGTTGAAAACTGCAGGAAGTGGTTACATACAAGAATGGAATGGAACAGGTTAGTTATCACATTCTCATATTGTTTGATGCTGCTCCTAATTTTTCTTTGCCGTCCTAGTCATTGCTAGACCAAGTAAAAGTTGGCTAACTTTAAAGGATGAAGAAGCGAAGGAATAAGTATTTATATCCAAGTGCCCGGAGACTACAGGGTCAGAAAGTCCACGGTGAATACTTTTTTTTTTTGAAAATGAGAAAAAAAAATCGGTGCATACTGATTTCAACTATTCTAGAGAAAAAGAGAACAGAAGATGAGTATCGTTTGGTTGCTAGAAATAGTTCGAGAGAACAATCTAATCTATTCTAATAAGTGTACTTTCTCATATATTGTCAAATTCAAACCAATCACATTTCTTACATTTATCAGTATTTAACAAGAGATTACAGAACCTCTATATTAGTTTAAACAAACTTCAGACATTAAGCACGACAAGAAGCTTAAGTAGGATATATGAACATCAATTACATCAAAAGTTTGCCATAAAGATCTTGAAAGCTGGTGGAAACCATCTTATAACAATGAGGACAGTGCCTAAAGGATATTTAAACTACATATCAAGCTTGATCTAGGAGAAATTCTCAGCTCGAGGAAGTGAATTATCAGGAAACAAATGCTACTTTTCTTATGTAAAGCCTGATAGCTAAAATAATATGGGTATAACAGACAAATCACAAAAATAGCTTTACTCACCAAAACTGTTTGACACTTGAACTAATACCGTACATTGAGATAAACAGACTCTTTGACTCAGAAGTAATGAAACAGATCAACGACATGCCCATGACCAGCAGAGGCTATAAGCTTTGTGGTAGAGGCTATAAAAGAATAACTCTTAAACTAATCGAGAGAGGGTGAAAAGCGTATAATGTTGAGAGTTCATTCGACTATAATGTCTAGATTAATGATCAGTTGACAAGGATTTCACATCTATTAAATTAGAAACTGCATAGCTAAGTGCGACTAGATGTAACTTTCTCAATGTACCTTTTTAGCTGCATCCAACAATCTGAAATGTCATTTATTATCTACTGAACAAATCAAGATACATCATAACAAACCATTATTGAATGATATGTGAGCAGATGCTGTCAATTGTTGTTTTAACTTAAAACATGACAGTTATGTAACCTAACCATTGTTGGTAATAAATTGCATGTTCAATCATAAAAGTTATCGAAAAGTGATGCTAACTCGAACCAGACAACCTCTACTTACATTATACCATTCATTGGTCAATTAAGCCAACATTTATCATAGTATGAAAATCTCCAATTAATCAGAGAGTTCTTTTCTTAAAAAAGTTTCTCCTTTCTGCTGAACAGTTCCTGTCAAAGTTGGAGTCCCCAGAATTGTTCGGTGAAGTAGGTGTTATCTTTAATACGCCCCAGCCTTTTACCGTGAGAAGTAAGAGACTTTCTCAGGTTGTTCGAATCAGCCATCATCATTTCAAGCAACTGGTGCAGCCCCTTAACGCAGATGGAAAGATAATCCTCTCCAATTTTCTTCAGGTACTGTGGTAGCTTTTAGTTGCTAGTCTTGAACATCATAACATCCCCAGTGACAAGCTAGTTATTAAAGTTTCGTGCACCCTATGCTCGAAGATCTGAGCGTCAGTAACACTGAGCTGGTAATGGCATTTTCCATTAGATGACAGCTCATCAGATTAGCTCTTATGTTAGTTATCTCTGTATTCATACTCACATCATGGTCTTGTGACATGATATAAATCAGAATCTTAAAGGAATGGAAAAGGAAGAGCTACAAGAGATACCACTCATATCACAGCTGCTCAGTGACGTGAATAGTGAGGTAATCCTTTGCAATAAACTAGCAAAATCTATGGCATTAAACTGAGCAAGTACTTGAACTTGGCTTGATCCTTTTTTTTTTTGGATGACTGAGAGATTCTTCTGGGATGAACCTTTAGGACTTACCGCAGCCTCCGAAACTCGGGGATTACACACACCCTTCACCACATAAATACCACGATTAATTCATATGGCTCGGAGCTTGAACTTGTGACCTACGTCACAAGTCCCTCTACCTTTGCCACTTGAACCTGGATTTTCCCCTCATTCCCAAATGAGCAGATATTATTACCTTCCCCACTCAAGACTCCTGAAGAGTGGCATGAAGAAAGGGATTTTCCAAAGAAATGTTTCCAATGAGAAAGTCATCTCCTTAGTGTTTGGTTACCATAAAATGTTTTCCGGAGAGTTACTACCTAACTTATCAGTAGATGCTGTTTTCCTTACAACTATCTTAACTTATGATTTTCCTCATTTTCCTCATTCAAGGAAAATATTTCCCACAAAAGGGAAATACAACTTACCTCACTTAGAGGAAAAGTCATTTTCTTTACAACTATCTTAACTTTCAACTTCATATTACATGCTCCAACTAATACTTAGATATTACTCCCCTTGTTTCAATTTAAATGACACACTTTACTTATTAGTCTGTTCCAAAAAGAATGACACATTTTTATATTTGGTAACAATTTCACTTTAAACTTTTTATTTTACCCACTTTACCCTTAATGAGAAGCTTTTATAGCCAAAAATATCATGGCCCCACGAAGCTTTTGCCCCTTAAGCTTTTAGGACCATATATTTCAATAGTCTTCTTTTTTTTTCTTAAACCTTATGTCAAATCAAACTACATAATCTAAATTGAAACGGAGGGAATATTATTATTCGTTAATACTCAAATTTTTCATCCAAACACCCTTGTTAATATCATTATTAATCTTTAAGATATACTTTTTTCCAGAAAATATATTTTGCACTCACTAACCAAACACAAACATTTTCCAGGAAAATGTTTTCCATTGAAAATGACTTTTGTCATACCAAACAATGAAATATACGTCTATCTCAGTAATGAATAAGACAAACTTTTTATCCATCATCTTGTACCTTCAACGGTAACAAACAAGGTTACCCTTTTTTGATATCCTAAAAAAACAGGGGAAAAGATATTCCTAGAAAGGTTTGACAATGACCGGTTGACAATACAACAATAATGATTTCCAAATCTAACATAATAAAGTTGCAAAATCTTGTGCAACAGTGAACACTAGCGAAGCAAAGCAAGAAGCACAGTCAGGCAAATGAAAGGCTTCCAAAATCTTATCCACTTGAACTTTTATCCAATTTCTATGATGATTAATGCTTCATTCTCTTGCAGGTGAGTACAATGAGTAGGGGACAAAATCATGAAGGACAAAGCCAAGACGGAAATAGTAAGCTTATGCCTCACCTAGAACTGTTCCGTTATTAATATCTCACAATGTGAGTAAGATATATGTGCTGACAGCAAGCGTGGACAATTGGCATCAAAATATACCAAAGATCGTATCATATATGCCATAAATGTGACTATGAAACTTTGCAGAGTATGTAAAATTTTAAGGAACATAGAATGGTGAAATTTGATGGACATAACCCCTGGTTATTTTGAAAACTTCTTAGCTACATTCTACCTGCATCTGCATTTGACCTTATACTACTATTTTACTCAAATAAGCAACGTTTTAGTTTTCTGCAGACATGTAATAAGTTTGAAATTGAAAAAACTTGAAATGTTTTGGGTTGTCGACATGCCCTTTTTTCTTTTTGATAAAGTAAGTAATTCTATCAATGTGGAAAAACTCCCGTAAAAAGCCAAAATGCTTCTTTAAAAGTTTGACCAGAATTTGCAGTTTACAAAATGGGCATTTCCAGTTTAAATTCATGAGTTGAATCTCACTTAGACAACTAAGATTTAGTCTTTGACTATGGGTTGCTTGTATTTGCCTTTTAGTTTTGCATGACTTAAGGAGTATAATACAATGAAATTTTTGGTTAGGAAACCCTAAAACATCTTTCAATAAATTATAATTTTACAGGAATTACCACAACAACACTCCCCACTAGGGTTATAATACATGGACATCATCCACATGACAAACCAAATGAAGGAGGAATTGCAGGAAAATTAATACATCTACCTGAGTCAGTTGAAGATCTCCTAATAATAGCAGGTAAGCCTAAGTACTTAGTCTACTGGACTTCAGCTTGTGAAGCAGTGATATTTAGCCAATACTCTCAACAAATCCATTCTCTAATACGAAATTAACATCAATGATTGCATTGTCAAGGAATAAGAATGCAAGAGAGGAATTACAATAATTTTTGTGGATGCAGAAAAAAGATTTCGAAAAAGAGGAAGTACAATTGTCATGGCAGATGGCTTCCCAATGGAGGATTTGGGTGCTTTGCGAGAAAATGATCACTTGTATATAGTTTGACGGAAAAATCATCAGATGCTTAATAAGTCAAGCTGATAGAATTCAGGACGATTTTCCTATTGGATTTCGAGAGAAATGTGCAATTAGATTTTATAGATGGAAATGGAAAGTCGGAAGTACCTAAATGAGATGGAGAGTTGAGATTTCATTTCCGATGCCGGTGGGAGTCCGGTGATAGCCGGAAAAGACATCGGAGCGGCGCCCATAGCCATGACTGCGCTTTGCCTCGCTAGTTATGGACATAGTTAAGTTAAATGATCAGATCCTTTCTTTATTTTTTTTTCAAGATGTTAAATTACAATACATATTTGATTATTAATAAGTTGTCTTTAAAGTTTCACACCAGATGAAAAAAAGACTAGTGTAGTATTTGTTTTCTCAACTGAATGCCTATAATTTATCTTAACTTAAAAATAACAAAATATAAATTCTAATACAAAATAATTAATATTAGGAAAAAAAATCATAATTTATATCGAGAGAGAAAAATGATGAGGGACCAATAAAATCTCATTGGATTCCAGAGGGTTAGCTATTTCATTTCCATTAAATAGAGATGCAATTATTTATCATACATCCCTTTGTAGTAGTTGTACAATATGATAGTAAGAGTACCACTGCCACACAAGTTAAAGCCTTAATTAGCACCATACATGCAAATGTTACACTGGGAAATAGGTATGTTTCCAATCTAATTGAGGTGTGTCATCCAGGAATATGCAACTGGACTTCTCACTTGATTTTCAGCATTTTTCCATGAAATCCAACCAAATGCATTTCCTGTTTTAATACCTTTCTTGGACACAAATGTGACTGTGTAATGGAGTTTTTCTCCTACTTTCTTGAATACAAGCTTTGGCGGCTTCACGGTCACCGTAACAGATGAAGGACCATCAATGGCTACTTCATACACTGACCCTGCAGCTCCAACATTGGTCACTTCCCGAGTGTAACGAACAACTCGCGTTGAATTAACTCCAAACAAGACCGAGAATGATGGGTAGTTGATCTGCCCAGCATCTGCAAACTTGTTTGCACAAGTGAAGTTGACTCTTTTGACAATAGCTTGTATTTGATCCATAGGGTAGTGTAAGGAGCACAAGAACTTGATATGATCCTGAATTCTGATATCGTATATGAGTCCGGGGGAGAGTGCATTCTGGGGATTTACATGGCCTGATCCATGAGCCAATGGACTGGAAAATATACTGTCTTCTGCAGAATCACGAAACGAGGAGTTGGTGTTATCTTGAGTGTACGCGGTTGTCATGATTGCTGATTTGATCGCGCTTGGACTCCATTCAGGATGTACAGCTTTTATCAATGCAGCAACTCCTGTAACATGAGGACAAGCCATAGAAGTGCCAGAAATGATATTGAATGAAGTCTTTCGTGTATCGACATCAAGTGAAGTTGGCCCTACATTTTCAGGCCAAGCTGCCAAGATATTCACTCCAGGACCAATGACATCAGGCTTTAATATCTGAGCAGCAATTGCATTTGGCCCTCTTGAGCTAAATCCAGCGACAACAGGGGATGGTTTAACTTTCACCACTGTCCCAACAAAAGTAAAAACAACTGTTGGATTGCTTTCTGTTTTCACATATTCCCTTATTACATCCCCCACCTTCCTCCCAACAGCCACTGCAGGCAATAATTGGCTATCCGCGAGTAACTCCTCCCCGTCTCGGGTGTATTGGCTAATATCATACCTATTCCATTGGCTTCCGTCACTACTAGTCCCTTCTCAACTCTATCATTAGTCCCCCTGTCACATAACACTACTTTTCCGCGAACCACGTTTGGGTCAAGCGAACCACGCAAGCACAAATTGCTAGAGGAGTTGTTTCCTTTTAGGTAAACTAAGCTCAGTGATTTATTTTCCATTTCTTCTCCACTATACAACGATACACCTTGAAGTTTTTGGCCATTTCCCAGAGTAATAAAAGCAGGAAAGTCTCGGTCAAGAGTTGCAGCACCAACAGTAACGATCCATGGAGCCGTGTTCACAACTGTTGATTTTCCAGGACCATCATTCCCAGCTGAACACGACACAAGAATCCCTTTCTCAATAGCAGCGAAAGCACCCAGAGCAATGGCATCGTTGTAATATGTTGTTGCATTATTAGACAATGACACGGACAATACATCAACACCATCCATAATAGCACGGTCGAATGCAGCAAGGATATCAGAGCCAGCACAAGTTTCATTCCAGCACACTTTGTAGCTCGCTATACGGGCTTGTGGCGCCATCCCTCGTGCAGTCCCTTTAGCATAGCCAAAGAGACTAGCATTTGCCACAATGGATCCTGCATGCAATATGAGTCCAACTGAATCCAGCCTTTTTGACACGAAATGTAGATATATATAGGTAAATAATTACTAAATCTTCAATAATTAACACATAATTTATTAAATGCATCAAGTTTAAATCTTGAATCCGTCACTACCTGCAGCTGTGCTCGCAGTATGAGTGCCATGGCCGTTATGGTCCCGGGGCGATTCAATCTCCTTAGAGCAGCTGCTAGAAACCTTACAACCTTTAACAAAATACTGAGCACCAATAAGTTTCCTATTGCAATGCACATTCGGATCGAAATCAGGTGCCGATTGGCATTCCCCCCGCCATCTGGACGGCACATTAGACATGCCCAAATCATTAAAACTCTTAGACTCAGGCCAAATTCCACTATCAAGAACTCCAATAATAACATCTTGAGCAGCATTGTTCAATTCTGGTAAAGTACGTCCAGCCCATGAATTGAGATTATCGAGGCCAAGAAATTCAGGGGTACGGGTTGTTTGAAGGGTGTAAAAAGTGTCTTCATAGACATTAACGACAGAGTCAGATTGGCGGAGTAATTCAACTTCATGGGGATAAAGACTTGCGGCAAAGCCGTGAGAGGCAATGTTGTACGTATAGAGAAGAGAATTTTTATTTGAAGAAGTTAGAGACTGGAGATAGGATTTGTACCATTGATTGTGAGTAGAGAAAGAAGGAGGTTTGAGGTGATGTTTCATGTGTACAATGTAGGTTTTTTTGGTGGGATGAACTGCCATTGATGAGTGGAGAAAGAGAAGTAGAATGGTGTATAACAAGATTACTACAGCTCCCATTAGTAAAGAAAATAGAAGGATGAAAATGATAAGTGTGTGTGAAAGAGAGAAAATCAGGGGGTTTTATTTTCAGTTACCACCTTAATTTAAGTCAAATTTTGACTCACAAAATTCTGAAATTATCTTCTGAATTAGGATGAACTTTCGTTTTAAGTGTATAATAATTGATTCCCTTTTATGTCTTGAAGGTATATGATTGAGTTGAGGATATACTTTGTCATTAAATTGAGTTTGACCATAATTTATACTTTCTCCATTTCATCCTACATGAGTACATGGTGATGTTTGATTGGTCGAAGAGTTTTTAAGAGGAAAAAAGGAGTAGATTTTAAGACTTATGTTCTTAAACTTTCCACGATAATGTTATAAACATATTATTACGAATAAAAAATTTAAAATTAAATTATTTCATAAAAATGAATCTTCTTTTCTGGACTTTATAAAATACAACAGAGGGAGTACTAAGTAGTTTAAGTAGATGCATTGACTTGTATTCTTAGTTTTTCTTTTACCGATAAATGCAGCTAAGTTACTCTGCTTATGTTGAAAAAATAAACTGTAACAGTGTTGTTCAGGTTATTTTACCCATATCTTTGATAAGTTGTATACATTTCTTAAAATCGGCAAAGTATAAAACACATAGTCCCTCCGTTTCAATTTATGTGAACCTATTTTCTTTTTAGTCTGTGCCAAAAAGAATGACATCTTTTCTTATTTGGAAGCAATTTACCTTTATGCAATGATTTATAGCCACACAAAATATATGTGTCTCATTTTACACCACAAGTTTAAAAGTTTTCTCTCTTTTTTTAAACTCCGTGCTCAGTCAAATGGGTTCACGTAAATTGAAACGGGGGAGTAAATTATATGTGTGCAATGCCTGGGGTCTATGTGCTTCAATAAGGAATAAAGAAATTGGAGCTCAGTTTACTTAAGCTGAGAGATTCAAAAAAAAGAAAATTAAAATGGTTTGATCAACAAAAGAATGCAAAATGTGTTTGGTAGTCTAAACTGGGGAATAAGGGGAAAGTGAATTAAATCCAATTATAGTTACAGAATCCGTCGAGCTCAGGGCGAATTAAATGCGGATGAGGTAGTCAGGAAAAGTTGCATAGAGATAAGCCCATAACTAATTTGAATAAGATTTTCTCCTTCTCATATTATCAGTCGAGGCTACTAAAAATAATTATCTCAAATTATTTATCATTTTAAAAATTCAAGACAAAATTAATTATTTTTTTCTTTTTTTACCATTAGTAATAATTATTCTTGAATATGAAAATAACACATAAATAGAATAAATATTCAATGAAGAGACATTTTATCTTAAGACATAAATAAGGGTAAAATAGTCTAATTATTTTCCTAATTAATATTTCTTAAGGGACATATAAAAGATGATAATTTGAGATAGAGGAATACAAGCTTTAGGTCAATAGGTTTATTTTTTCTATTCTCCTTTAGCTTTTTTGACTTTTAACTTTTTTCCTTCTAATTTGCCAATAGTAATTAGGAGGCTTCAACCGTTCAATGAGATTTTTCTTTTTGAGGGGGAGGGGGGGCTGTGGCAGTGTGAACAATTAGATGGCTCAGAAAACTAAAATTAAATCTTGACGAATAAAACTTTAACATAAAAAAGAAAAATATAAGTTGTTAATGATTTACTTCATATTTTATCAAGTTTATTAATTGCACAAAATGAAATTTTCGATCGAAGACTTCATTCCGAAGGGACATGATACATCTCCATTCTCCCTCTACCGAGAATCAGATTCATTAGAAAAAGACAGAATGCCAGGCTTTGGTAATTATAAACTGCTAAAACTCAATTAGTTCTTCTATATATAAGCTACGTCCGAGCATAAATATTCCACACGCGAAAGCACACACAAAATAATAGCCACTAATCTAACATTTTCATAATTTGAGAGTTAATTTGAATAAGTTCTTATCTCTTAAGGTGAAATTAAACAAATAAAAATTCTTTGTTTGTAACGTTATATAGAGATTAAGTGAATATTGGAAAAGTTTCTCGAAACATCATTGTAAAAGTCTAAGACGATAATTAACTCCAAAGAAAGCAAAAAAGTTGTACAATTATATGAGAAGACATTCAACTTTTCAGAATCGCAAGGTAATTATTCTTCGTAGACTAGCAAAAACCTGGCATATAACAGATTCTTTTCTTCTTGTTTTTTTTTCCTACTTTTTGTTGGTCAAAAGTGTAACTGAACAGTCAAGGCTCACTAAGAAGTGAGAGCCAATATTCGTGTTCTGTTGTCTTGTATCCAAAATTAAGCACATGTGACGTAAGCCATGCAACAAATGAATGCAAAGACAAGGATGCCACATGTTGATTGTTACTTGTTAAATTTGTTTTCCCTACAGAGAAATTATTTTTTGACTTTTGAGAAACTTATTTCCCTAAAAAATATTTCAAGACATTTTTAACCAACAAAACCTATAAAATAAAAAAAATAAAAAAAAGAAAAGAAAAAGGCACCCGTAGTCTAAGCATTTAAATAAACAATGGTTGCTTCAGCTCAATAAACGGCCTAGGCCTGCTTGGCCAATGGCCAATCAGTTTCATAAATTTGATAACAACATTTTTTGGCTAGCCCTTAACGCTACATTACCGAATTCACGTATGTTAATAAGTGAATATCGTTTTAAAAAAATTCGAGAACGCAAGTTCTGAACGTGAAATATTCTATTCGACTAAGCTAGAGGTTGTTTGATCATGCTTTAGAATTTGCTTATTTTGAAGACACTTTCCAAACGAGCTTTAGAGGTACTTTGGGAGAAGCAACATATTTTTGGACTTTGGTCTAAACATTTGAGAATACTTCCCAGTATTGCAGAAACAACTTATACGACTTTGGAAAAGAATCCGAATTAAAGCTTTTGCCTTAGGAGGCCATAAAAGCGAACTTTTAGGATAGTCAGCACTCAGCAGGCACAAAAGCACATGATTCATAGAGATCATACATTGACTATTAACGTTCAGACTCAAGCAATAGTTATTTAACGGGTAGGCGTACGGCTCAAAATTATTTTCTGAAATACCTCAGAGCTAGGTGACATGGATTCTCTAAAACTTTTACATCGTAACGAGGAATGATGGGGTCAACATGTCTGATATGGTCTACATACCTGCACAATGAATTAAAACCTGATGAATATTTTGAAGATGCTCAACTGTGAGCTAATGCTACTAGGCATCTATAATACAAGACCATTATACATGAGCAGATTGTGCTATCTATTCCTAGATCTACAACATATGGAAATTAAGTATCAACAGTTTAAGAGTTAAACACTACAATCACAAGTCAAAAGCATTTCAAACTGCTGTAGCCATAAGGAACAGAATGGTGAATCTATGTTTACATTTTGCCAGTTGTTCAAATTGATACTTAGCATAATATTTACATTTTATATCACCTGTATATTACTCGAGAAAAGAAGCCTAATGAGTAAACGAACATCCAGAAGAGAATGTGTCTGTCACGATCATCAGATGGCATGACAACAATGCATGAGAAATCAAACCGATATATCTTAATGAGATAAACATCACCAGTTATGCATGAGTTGAAATCACAATCATGCTATGAAAAACAGAGATCAAGGGTTCACTGATATACTTACAAGTTCTAGCCGCCCTCCTGGTTATTCAGCATGTTCAAAATAGCATAAGAAGCTCTTTGAAAATTATCCTTCTGTTCCTCTAAAGTTTTCCTCCTCTCAAGAGCAGAGTCCTTGCACTTCTCCATGTCTTCTGTTACTTCAGTAGAGCTCTGATCAATTTCACTGTAGAAAGTGATAAAAATGTGAAAGGGTATACACGATACAAGCAGATAGACAGGAAAAGTGTGAAAGAAATGTTTTGTAGATGCAATGAAAATAATGGTATGTTTGTAGATGCAATGAAAATAATGGTAACGGTCTATAGCTCTAACTTATAGTTACAAGAAAGAACAAGCTGTTACGGTAAAAATGCAAGAAAGACTATGATGGAAGAGTGAAATATGAATACCAATAGCTTCAGAGGAGAACTACACAAAATCCTGGTTGACATCGAAAAATAATGCAATTGACATTTGAAAAATAGTAATCTTGAGATTTGTCAAGAACATGTGACAATGGACAGAATAGGCAAATATTGACAGTACAAGTACAAGTTTTCAAAGCTAATGTAAATATTTCCCACTTCTTCATGCCGCTATGTGGATAAAAATATACTTCCTCGAGTCTCAGTGCTAATCAGCTTACTTTATCATCTTCAGCATGTGCTCCATTGCCACTTGCACTTGTTGTGAGAGGTCTGCATATCCATTATGTGGAACAAATAAGTTCCGCATAACGTGTAATTACACAAGGTATATTAACATTTCCTTACAACATTTGATGGCAACATATATCAACACATTATAAACTTTCCACTGAAAATAGAGGTTCCATTTCAACATGACCAGGCCAGTAACATTAATGACTAAAGGAAAAGAGAAAAAAAAATTCAAAAGATTTCTCAAATAGTATCATATTGAGAACCTGCAGGGGTAAAAAAAAATATTACATTCTCTTCCATTGAGTCCAACCCAATAATGAACCACCAACAATAATATCGGGATTCAGCGAAGCTTACTTCTTTTAGCTTGATGTTCCATTATTTCCATTGACATGTCAGTTTGGAGCATTCACAAATTCTCCAATAGGAAGTTATAGATGTGAATTACCGGTTTCCTCAATTACTTAGTTAATAGGTAAGGAGAACCTCAGTGTGCTTATGTCTCAAGCAAGATTGAATTGCATGCTCCTGCTCGTAATAGGTCAGCTAAACTACATGAATCAACATATTTAAAATATAAACTTCAGCAGTATCTAGACATGCAACTCAAACTGATCACTTCATTCTTTCTCAATCTTCCCCAACCAGTTCCTATTTTTTATTTGAGCAGAAATGGAAATATGGCGATTGCAATATTTGCTCCTTATTTATTTTTCATTAAGTATGTATAGTCTAGACATATAAGTTTCCAAGATATTCAAGTGCTAATTCATTGTCATTCTATGCCATAGGATCTTCAAGAATACTAGCTTAATATCTTCTATTTCAGACCACCTGATACGTTCAATTTTTGCCTTCAGTAGGATGGAGAGAAACGCAACTTACAATGGCATGCACTTCCAAAATCAGATGAAATGATGTAAAAATTATGCTTAAAGCAGCATACCAGTTGTCACTGAACGACCATGAAACAGCTTAGTTTAGATCAGTTCATTATTCATTTGAAGTCTCAATTCCAATCAAATTCCTTAGCATTAATTTGCACTTGTCTAAATTGCATGTGGAAAATTCATGAATGTTTGAAGGTTAATTGAGACAGCTGCCTTATTCTTTAGACAGCTACTACGACACTAATTTTTAATATATCAAGTTTACCATGTAAATTCTAAATTGTTTCTAACAATTGATCTAACATCTTAATTCTCTCTAATTCAGGAAAAACTAAATTAGGAAAACATACAAAATTTCGATAAAAATTCAATCAATAGCTACTGAAGACAGAGAAATCACCCAACATAGGCAAGAAAAAAACTGAAGAAAAAAATAATTAAAAATAACAAACAACTCGTTGCTTATAATCAAAGACCAAATTCGAAAAAAAAAAATGCAACAAAAAAAACCACATGTGCAACACTAAAGCAGAAAAATAGCAAATGAAGGCTTATGTATAAGCGAAAAGGATTGCTACAGGAAGTAGTACACAATAACTAGCAATTTGATGCTCGAAACATACATAACTTCCAGCCAAATTCAATAGATTGCAAATCTTCAAGGTAAAACACATACTATGGCTCCTCCAATTGTGATTAAGAAAATATTATTCCGTTGACATCAAATTGACGGAGAATTGTGATTTAAACATCGATACTCTATTAAAATGGATGTGTAGATTACCGTAAAGGACAGAGGAAAGCTGAGATTCGATTTCAGAAGTTCGAGCAAGCTGATCGTCGGCGGCAGCAGCGTCTCTAGAAGGTTCCATTTTCTGTTTGCAGAGAGAGTGTGTGTGTGTGTGTGAAGAGAGAGAGTGTGTGATTGTGTGTGTGGGAAATGTGGTGAATGAATTTGAGCGCGCTTTTTGTCCAGATTTAATATGCGGTTCATTTGGGCAATTTCCAATTTGTAGATTTCAAACAAAATTATGAAGACTTTAGTCCCTGGGTTTTGTTTTTTAGCATTTCAACACCCTTGCAGAGTGAAAGAGTTTAAGCTCGAAGGTAAGACAATCTTTGAGCTTGACCACCCGCGCTCCCTTGGGCTATTTATTGAAGTCACATGCCTTTACTTTGTAATAAGTTGGTTAGTTAGTTAATTAGTGGGAGTGCATGTATGTGAAGTGTATATATGCACAGTGCTCATGCATTGCAGAGGAGATATAGAATCAGATTTCATTCTCAATTCTCTCTTCCTCGTTTCCTTTGTTCTTCACGTTAGCTTCTACATTCTTCTAACATGGTATCAGAGCAGCGATTAGGGCTCTGAATCTGCTTCTTCTCCTTCACCCAGCTGGTTTGCCATTATCAATTCTAGAGTTGTCCGCCATGGGAGACACCTCAACACCTCAAATTGACCATCGTCACCCACTCTATCTCCAACCATCTGATACGCCTGGAGCGATTTTGATAGATATCAAGCTCACATGCCCAGAAAATTACGTATTGTGGAGTAGATCGATGCATTTGGCTCTATTGGGGAAGAACAAGCTAGGTTTCGTAGAAGGAACATGTCATGTAAATAGTCTAGACAAAGGAAATTAGCAGATTTGTGGGAACAATGTAATGATATAGTTCTCACATGGATTGGAATATGTGTGTCACAGGAATTGTTACCAAGCATCGTCTATGCGTCAAATGTAGCAAAGGTTTGGGTTGAATTAAAAGAGAGGTTTGAAAAATCTAACTTGACTAGATTCTATCATCTTTGGACTCAAATTGGAACCCTAACTCAAGGTACTGATTCTGTTACCACATACTTTACTAAGATGAAAGACTTATGGGATGAACAAGATACCTTGATACCAGGTCGAGGATGTAGGTGTAAGGAGTCAAAATCATATTTTGAAATGTTTTATCAGCAATGTGTTGTGCAATTTTAGTGGGATTAAATGAAACCTATGCTCACGCCCGCAGTCAAATTTTATTAAAAATACTTGTGTTATCAGTGAATCAAGCATATGCCTTAGTGATACAAGAAGAAAGCCAAAGGGCTCTTGATGTAATGGACATGAGTAAAGAGCCATTGACCATGTTAGCTGGCAGAGGACAAATGATGAAAGAAAAAAGGTTTGATTTAATCTGTGAACATTATGGGTATAAGGGGCATCAAAAGGAATTTCTATAATATTGTGGGATATCCACCTAATTTCAAGGGCAAAAGAAAGCCAATGCAGGGTGATGGTGGCTTCAAGCCCTATGCTAACAATGTAACAGTTGAAGGAAATAGTTCTACTGAAGGGAACTGTTCTGCTGAGAGCCAGTCTCAAGGCCACTTCTTCACAGAGGATGAGTATAAGCAGCTAGTGAACTTACTAAACAAATCTTCAGCTGGTGATTGCAAAGTCAACATGGCAGGTATTATTTCCATGTTGTCGAATGACTGTGTTTTTGAATGGATTATTTGTTGATACCCAATTTTTTCCTCATATTTTTATAAAGGTCATATATACTTTTAAAATATCATTCCTGCACCATAACCAATTTACAAGAGTCATACAAGTATTTTCTATAATGTTTCATAATTTTTAAAGGTTTAAAATTATTGTTTTTGCATTTAAATTATTTGAATATATATTAATTACCCCTTTAAATCATTTTGTGATGGCTTAATCATCCAAATGTATTATTTGCATCCAAATATATATTTCATAATATTTTACCTCATTTTTCATATAGTTATATTTGTATTTTTAAGCTATTTACACAATTTTATAATAATAGCCTATATGATGTGCATAATTATATTTTATTACAGTGTTTGCCCAAATAGTATTTTTATATTTTTAGAATGTCAAATTATTATTTTCAAGCATCTCACTACATAAATAATATTTTTATTATTTGTTAATTACTTCTTATAAATTATTTTTTTATAATTTTTGTGTATTTAAAAACTTTGGCCCAATGTTTGAGTTAATTTCGGACCCAAAACCTAGCCCAATAACCCCAAGCCCAAACCAGACAACCCTTTTAATGAAACCGATCGCGATCCATATAAACGACCCGCCCCATTTCCTTTCGATCATGGCCGTTGATCTCAAATGATCAACGTCCCATAATAAATCCCCACCTTTCCTTATATCTCCTCACCCAAACCCTAATCTTATTTCCCCTCTCCAGCCGCCTCTGAATCCTCTCTATTCCATTCGTCTCTGAGAAACCCTAGCCACCACACCCTTCAATCCTCTCCGATTTAGTCCTTAATATGGAATCCCTCTATGATTTTCCTTCCTTATATGTTCTGTCTCCGTGTTACTTACACGATTATGGTATCACCTAGTACTTGCCTATTTTTGGCAAGTACCATGCCCTGAGTCATGTGCAATCATCTACAATCTTCAAGATTTAGACGGTATTTCGTCTGTATACATTCATGGCAAAGTGATATGAGGTCGATTCACCAAGATCTTTGGTCGATTCTTTGATTTCTGTTGAACTAGGATTTGAAATTTCAATTTTTCCTTTACCGGTTCTATTATTAATTGCATGTGATATTTTCTTTTCTTATTTGTGTTTGATTAATTGTTTTCTATATTTGCTTGTTCGATTTCTACCACTATATAACCCCTCCCCAATTTTCCCTTTGGGCAAACTTTAATCACTAAAATTACTACTACTGTCTTTGTCTCACTTGTCTTGTACTACTCTGAGGGTTAATCTCTTGGCCGGCTGAAAGCCAAAGCCACCGAAATTCGATTATCGAACCTTTCTCAGTGTGAGCACTGCCCGGGATTCATTCGAAACCCTTGGAAACTCTGACACACTGAGATTCGTGGGTTCTACTATTCGTTTTGCTATTGACATTGGAGTGTTGCTGAATTATTACTCTTGTTTACTTGTTCACTAATCTGTAACTTGAAAATACCTATGACCTTTGCAATTTCAATCTCTTTTCGTTTAAGTTCCTGCTCTGCATATCTATCTCTATGAGATTTTTATGAACCAACATACTATTGTATGCTCTGAAGCTCTTCTTGAGGCAATATGCCTTCTACTAATCGAATTTGCTTATTTGTTGCCTTGATACTGTTTTCTTAAGCATGTTTGCTCTAATTTGTATGTTCAAATGCTTATTACTGTTGCTTATTCTGGGTTTAGCTTCTTACCTTGTTCTGTACCCTTGTGATGAGTTGAGTCATGCCCAGAACCTATTCTAATTCTTGTTGAGTCATTCATGTGCAACTTAATGCTTTTCTAGAGTTAACTATTGATCGTGTTATTATCCCAAACATGCTTTCCCTGATATTTATAAACGGATGCATGTTCCCCACCTTGTTTAATCTGGTGTTCTTTAATACTGCCTAAGAATTCTAGGATGGAATTAAATATGTGGCCTCTTCTTCTATATGTGATTAAGCCTAGTGCAGGCTAGTCCTGCTAACCTATATCTGACATATTCTTGCCCATTATTAGTCCTTGTGTTATTTAAATCTTCGTGTATGATTGATAATGTTAAAATTCCTCATGCCCAGTTGAGTGGATTGTTACAGACCATGTTCATCAGCCTGCTTGTTATGATCATACTTGCACTAGACCCTCATGCTAGAAATTTTACTTGCTTATGTCTGTGATTCTGCAAGATTCCTCTGTCAAGATCGTATTTAAGTCGATCTTAGATCATATTATATCCTGAAACTCTACTTGGGATTGTCTGTTAGTTTATGATGTTCCATCCTGTCTTTGAACTTCTAGCATCTTATGTATATAACTTCGTGTGATCTCGCCTATTTGCTCTAGTTAAACTACTGTTAGTTGTAGTCCTAAGAACTAAGTGTGTGGACTTCAAGTGGTCTGATTAATTTATGTACAATTTGTTACTCATATGGTTAAGTTTGGCATTGCTGGGTAAGTTAGTTCCCCCTTCAGACTTGGTATGGGTCTGTGTTCGAGTCATGCAGATATCACACTCTAATGTCCTGGGGTGTTCCTAGGCTTGGGTTTACTATTATTGTGTGAAGAATGAGATCACCGAAGACCTTGAAGTTGCTCAGTTATTCCTCTTTGGGTCTGCTATGCTTATTGGGATATACTTATTTTAGCTTGTAATATTTGAGCATGTATTCTTTATTTTGGGCGTGTAATGATCTGTAAACAAATAATTGGAGCGTTAGTATTTTGGGGAATGGGTGTGCTTTATTCTTGCATAAAGGGTAGAGAACATGCCTATAGGGTCTACGTGCTTTATTTGCTATTTTGTTTAATTTGCTCTACTTGTGCACACTAATAGAAATCATGTCTATAGGAATCATGCACAGCTCATTTGTACATTGTTTAAACATGTTGGTCCAAGTTTTACCATACTCGATTCTATGTTACTATTGTGCATTTAGACAGCATGCCTATAAGATATATAACATATGTTTTTGTTAACCTAGATACCATGCCTATAAGACCTCAAATAATCAATTGGTCAATTTGCTTCTATTACTTTTAGTGTACTGCCCATCTAGATATCATGCCTATAGGACAATGTCACTTACCTAAGACGTATACTTATAAAATCAGCGCTAATATTCTAAGTTTACAAATAGTTTACTACCTCATCACATAAACCATTTAGAGAGGACAATAATGTTGCATATCCGATGCTGGAATTCAGAATCGCCTAGAAACCATGTCTATAAGACTCTAAGTCTTAATTCTGAAACTATGTACTGCCTAATATGCCCGCGTGCATTTGTTATTTACGTGTGGGGCTAACTTGGGCCTATAATTATCTTTATGTGAAGTCCTATTTGTTTTGGATGTCCCTTAGTTTTATCATTTTGAGAAACCTAAGTTGAGTCTAGAACCACCTAATAGTAGGTCCAAAGCCTCCTGGACCATAGGCATTGGATGGGTAGTGCACGCATAGGATACGGTTTAGAAGT